CCACCCCCCCGCCTTCCTTTCTCCCACCCCTTCATCCCACCAGGACGTGGGGATCCCATAACCCACCCAACGTCCTCCTGGTCCTCTAGGGACGGCCATGGGGTTGGTCATCAACACGGGTGACCGGACCATCATCGGACGCATCGCCAGTTTGGCTTCCGGGGTGGAGAACGAGAAGACCCCCATCGCCATCGAGATCGAGCACTTCGTCGACATCATCGCCGGCCTCGCCATCTTCTTCGGCGCCACCTTCTTCGTGGTGGCCATGGTCATCGGTTACCCCTTCCTCCGGGCCATGGTCTTCTTCATGGCCATCGTCGTGGCCTACGTCCCCGAGGGGCTGCTGGCCACTGTCACGGTATGGTTTGGGGCGTTGTGGGGTGGAGGGGTTGGACCTATAGGGCTGTGGGTCCCATCACAAACCATGGGTGCTACTGGAGCCTTGAGGGGCTTCATGGAACATGGGGCTCTCCTGGGACCTTTGAGGTCCCCATGGGTCCATCACAACCCATGGGTGCTATGGGGGACTTAGAGGTCTTCATGGAACCACGGGGTTCACCTGGGACCTTTGAGGTCCCCATGGGTCCATCACCACCCATGGGTGCTATGGGGGACTTGGGGGTCTTCATGGAACCATGGGCGCTATGGGATCCTTGATGGTCTTCATGGAACCACGGGGCTCACCTGGGACACTTGAGGTCCCCATGGGTCCATCACAACCCATGGGTGCTATGGGGGACTTGAGGGTCTTCAGGGAACCATGGGGCTCACCTGGGAACCTTGAAGTCCCCATGGGTCTCACCTGAGACCCTTGAAGTCCCCATGGGTCCACCACAAACCATGGGTGCTATGGGATCCTTGAGGGTCTTCACTGGACCATGGGGCTCACCTGGGACCCATGAGGTCCCCATGGCTCCATCACAACCCATGGGTGCCATATAGGTTCTGGTTGTCCCTATGGGTCCATGGGCATCAACGGCTTTCCTGTAGATCCCCATGACTCCAAGACCACCGTAGGAGCTCCAAGAGGTCCTCAAGGGTCCTCTGGATGCTATAGGGCTCCCAGGGTTCCTCGGGGTGCTGAGGACCTTCTCCAACCCCAGGTTTGCCTCTCGTTGACGGCCAAACGGCTGGCGAGGAAGAACTGCGTGGTGAAGAACCTGGAAGCGGTGGAGACTTTGGGTTCCACCTCCGTCATCTGCTCCGACAAGACGGGGACCCTCACCCAAAACCGCATGACGGTGGCCCACCTCTGGTTCGACAACCAGATCCATACGGCCGACACCACCGAGGACCAATCGGGTGAGCCCGCCTGGCACCACCCCACCACCCCCACCATCATCACCATCACCATCATCACCACCGCCACGTTGACCTCCTCTTGATGTCCCACCACCCAGGGCAGAGCTTCGACCAGTCCTCGGAGACGTGGACCATGTTGAGCCGCGTCGTCGCCCTCTGCAACAGGGCCCAGTTCAAACCGGGACAGGACAACGTCCCCGTGGCCAAGGTGGGACCTCTGGGGGGGGACACACGGGACGGACGACCACGCACCCTATAGGGGCCCTATATGGGGCTGGGAGGGATGTATAGGGGCCGGGATGTCCATAGGGGCACTATATGGGGCTGGAAATGTCATAAAGGACCCCTAAAGGAGCCCTATATGGGGCTGGGAGGGGTATATAGGGGCCAGGAGGGGTATATAGGGGCCGGGATGTCCATAGGGGCACTATATGGGGCTGGAAATGTCATAAAGGACCCCTAAAGGAGCCCTATATGGGGCTGGGAGGGGTATATAGGGGCCAGGAGGGGTATATAGGGGCCGGGATGTCCATAGGGGCACTATATGGGGCTGGAAATGTCATAAAGGACCCCTAAAGGAGCCCTATATGGGGCTGGGAGGGGCATATGGGGTCCTATATGGGGCTGGGGACCAATCGGGTGAGCCCGCCTGGCACCACAACCACCACCCCACCACCACCACCACCATCATCACCATCATCACCACCGCCACGTTGACCTCCTCTTGATGTCCCACCACCCAGGGCAGAGCTTCGACCAGTCCTCGGAGACGTGGACCATGTTGAGCCGCGTCGTCGCCCTCTGCAACAGGGCCCAGTTCAAACCGGGACAGGACAACGTCCCCGTGGCCAAGGTGGGACCTCTGGGGGGGGACACACGGGACGGACGACCACGCACCCTATAGGGGCCCTATATGGGGCTGGGAGGGACGTATAGGGGCCGGGATGTCCATCGGGGCACCATATGGGGCCGGAAATGTCATATAGGACCCCTAAAGGAGCCCTATATGGGGCTGGGAGGGGCATATGGGGTCCTATATGGGGCTGGGAGGGACGTATAGGGGCCAGGACGCCCATAGGGGCACTGTATGGGGCTGGAAACGCCCTATAGGACCCCTATACGGGGCTGTGAGGGCAACAGGAGGACCCTCAGAGAGGTCCTATATAGGGATCGGAGGGACCTATAGGGGGGCGGGACCTCCCCCACGGGGGGCCTATAGGGGGCGAGGTGGGCCCCGCCCCCTCAAGCAAGCCCCGCCCCTGCAGCGTGAGGTCATCGGCGACGCGTCGGAGACGGCGCTGCTGAAGTTCGCGGAGGTGACGGTGGGGCCGGCGGCGGAGGCACGGGGCCGGTTCCCCAAAGTGGCCGAGTTGCCCTTCAACTCCACCAACAAGTTCCAGGTGAGGGGGACACGGGTGGCCCCAGGGGTGGGGTGGGGTGGGCTGTCCCACATATCGGGGGTG